AGGCTGGAGCGTAGTGGCGAGATGTTGCCTCACTGCAACCTCCGCCTCCCAGGTTCAAGTGATTCTCCTGCCTCAGCCTCCTGAATAGCTGGGATTACAGGCACGCGCCACCGCGCCTAGCTAATTTTTGTACTTTTAGTAGAGACAGGGTTTTACTGTCTCTACTAAAGAGACAGTCATGTTGGCCAGGCTGGTCTTGAACTCCTGACCTCATGTGATCCGCCTGCCTCAGCCTCCCAAAAGTGCTGAGATTACAGATTTGAGCCACCGCGCCCTGACTGAAAAAAAATTTTTTGTAAACAGAAGACTCTGAGGGGTGCTATAGAGAAAAAACTCAGAATTCCAGGGAGAACTGTAAATCTGGGATCTTTCCTTTATCATAATTTGAAGCTTATGGGCTAAATAGGAAGAATGATGTCAATTATCTATGTGGCTAGGGACCCTGGGACACAAGAACCGGCATCACTTGATTATTTGATGTTTAGAAAGGAAAAGGAACACTGCATGTCTTATAACTGAAAGGGGCAATTTAAATATCTGTATGGATGTTTATCTAGAGTGATTTATTTGGCCACAAAAGTTTAAGACATTTCCATGCATATAATTAAACAATAGTGCTTTCAATTTGGTACTTCTAGTTAGCCATGGCAGTAATTTGATTCAAGAAAGAATGATTATGAAATATTGGTGACTATGTGGCCGGTCATCATTTGTGAAAACTCATACCCCTAGTCTGCTGGTGACTTTAAGCATAAAAACAAAAACAACATCAACAATAACATCAGCAGTGATTTTTTTCAAAAAGCTACCATATGTTGAGTGTTCTTTATGTACAAAACATTATGCTAAGTGCTTTACTTTTATTTTTATTTTTTTCCCATTGGAGAGTCTTGCTTTATATGCTAAGTGCTTTACATAATATTATATTGATTCTTGGTTCAGTAATCATGGGGATGATTATTCCCATTTTATAGATAAAGGAACTGAGGCTTAGAGAGGTTATGTAACTTGTCTAATACAACTGATCATCATAGAGACTGAATTCAAACTTAAATGTCTGTGATTTCCAAGCCCATGCATCTAACCATGGTTACACTTTTGAATGTAGTATTTGTAAACACTGGTTTTTTTTTTTGGAAGTTTAGTAGTGTGATTCTCATTAATCATGTGATATTAGGAAATGGTGATCATAGAATATTTGAATGGAAAGAATTTTAGAGCCCT